CAAATACCTGTACTTTCTACTTCTTACATGTTGAACACAAATACCTGTACTTTCTCCTTCTTACATGTTGAACTCAAATACCTGTACTTTCTACTTCTTAGATGTTGAACACAAATACCTGAACTTTCTACTTCTTACATGTTGAACTCAAATACCTGTACTTTCTACTTCTTACATGTTGAACTCAAATACCTTTACTTTCTACTTCTTACATGTTGAACTCAAATACCTGTACTTTCTACTTCTCTCATTTTCCAAACAGGCTGGTTCCTTTAGTCTGAATGTGTGTTTGGTGGCGTGATCATTATTATTTAGAGTCATTGCGTGCCTATTGATTTGAACACGATCCGTGTATCCATCATTTCCTGGTCTTCTCTAAAGAAGAGGGACCAATGAAAACGTTGTCATGTTGCCGTTGGTCAGCATGGAAACATTCATTAGCTAACAATGACATTATTGTTCTATTAATATAAAGGGAGGTCAGGTACTCTTTAAAACAGCTGCTAGTTATGGGTACTTTTTACTGAAGGACATTTCAAAGCCTCTTTACTTTGACTGAGTAAAGAAGTTTAGTCAGTACTTCTACTTTTACCAGAGTATTTTTAAACAAGAGTATGTGTACTTCTACTTGAGTAAAGGATGTGTGTACCTCTCTGGTTATATGTTTATATATATATATATATATAATAAGATGTGTTACCCCTGCTGGCTGCCTCCAGGCTCCTGCTTCACCCCCGTGTGTCTGATGGCTGAATGAGGGATGGACGACTGAGGGGGGACCAGGCGAGGAGAGAAGTTTCCGGACACCAGGCTGCACAATTAAATAAAAACAAGTCAAATGTTTGAGGAACTTCCAGTAGAAATGGGCAGATTTGGTATATTTATAACTCTGCAATATATCTCAACTGTTACAGCAGGAGGTCAAACTCACATTCACCGCGGGCCACATTGGCATTATGGTTGGAGTCGGTTGTAATATAAATATACTTATACAAAATAATGTATTATATCACATTATTGCCTCTGCATTGGATTATTATGGGATAGGTTAATAACTTCGTAATTAACTTCTTCTGAAAGCAGAAGTCCAGGGCAAATCATTGTAATCTCTAACAAAACAAGATGCATTGTGGGACATGTAGTTTATGGGCAAGCTGCTGCTGTAAAGTGGCATGTCACCGTATATTATATTCTTTCAGAGCTCTTGCGGGGCCACATGAAATGAAGTGGTGGGCCTTGAGTTTGACGAGCCTTTGTTACAGGATGTGTATTTTGTGTTTGAAATGCATGCTTCCTGGGTGACATTGAGCTGTCTTTGCCTCTTTTCTTGCTGTAATGCACGTTTCCCCTCTGTGGGACGAATGAAGTTATTCTCATTCTGATTTTACTACAATCACAACACCACAGCTCACACTCACCTGGACATGGAGGCGTTCATGGCCATGGCTGCAGGGGAGAATCCTCCAGCCATGGGGTACATGGTCTGCCCCTGCCTGCAAACACACACATTAAGATGAATGATAGAGACAGAGACCATAAAGTGGATCAAAAGTACTGAATGTCCTCCTCCAGTATGAGAGTACCCTGATCACAAAGGTATCAACTGTAGCTGAGAACATGACAGGATGTGTGATTACCTAGAAGAGCATCAGATCTGTTTGAGGCATATGATAGCTCTGTGATTAACATGATGATTCAGCCTCTATGGAGAGAGACATATGACAAGCATGCTCATTTCTGACGTGGAGCTAATCTGAAGTAAACATTGAATACTGCTTTCTATTCCTCCATCTTGGGACTGTGGAACTCCCTCTCTTGGATATCAGCATGTGAAGGACACTGTTCAGGAACTAGTTGATGCTCTGTATGTGATGACTCCTTCCATTCTGGAGAGGATCACAGATACATGGATCCTGAGATTCAAGCTCAAACCGGTGACCAGGGATTATTAACATTTAAGTATTCAGAAAAAGACAGAATTTATGATAAAAAGTCAGAATGTTGCGATTTTTGAGAAAAAGTCAACATTTTGCAATTTTTGAGAAAGTCAACATTTCGTTGAGAAAGTCAACAAAATGTTGAGAAAAAGTCATAATTTTGCGATTTTTGAGAAAAAGTCAAATTTTTAAGAAAAAGTCAGAATGTTACGATTTTTGAGAAAAAGTCAGAATGTTGAGAAAAAGTAATAATTTTTAGATAGTCATAATTTTGCGATTTTTAAGAAAAAGTCAGAATTGTGAGATTTTGAGAAAAAGTCAGAATGTTGAGAAAAAGTAATAATTTTTAGATAGTCATAATTTTGCGATTTTTGAGAAAAAGTCAGAATGTTGCAATTTTTGAGAAAAAGTCAGATTTTTAAGAAAAAGTCCGAATTGTGAGATTTTGAGAAAAAGTCAGAATTTTAAGAAAAAGTCCGAATTGTGAGATTTTTAGATCTTTGAGAAAAAGTCCGAATTTTGAGATTTTGAGAAAAAGTCCGAATTTTAAGAAAAAGTCCGAATTTTAATAAAAATTCCGAATTTTGAGAAAAAGTCAGAATTTTCCGAAAGTCAGAATATTATGATTTTTAGAAAAAGTCAGCATTTTGAGATTTTAAGAAAAATACCAACACATTATCTTTTTTTGTTTTGACTACTTCCATTCTTGAGAGGATCACAGATACATGGATCCTGAGATTCAAGCTCAAGCAGTAACAGTAGGCGAGTTAATAAACAAGAGAGAAGTTACGATGCTAATTTTAAGATAATGGTGATCAACGAAGCAGACTGTCGAGCAGCAAAGAAATCAGGAGTTTCTGAGAGTAACGCAGACGCATGAGAAACGTCTGTGAAAAGAACAGACAGGCGAATAGACTGATGTTCTAAAGCTTTGCTCTGTTTTACTGCTATCCAGCCTGTTTTGTTTTGTTTGCCAAGCGAGTGAACAGAATGTGTGATGTGTGTTACAATGCGAACATCTTTTATCAACATGCTTTTAACTTTGACAGTTTTAAACTTACAGCCAGCCCAGAGGGTGAGGGATCTGAGCCATTCCTCCAGGAGACACGGGGTAGCAGGGCGTCCTCGACATGCCTGAAGACACAAGGCGCTCATTAGGAGCTCAATAATACAATGATATTACGTCAGACAATTGGCTGTGAGGCTTCTAAAAGTAGTGTGGTAAATTCACTGAGGAAGTGACAGATATCTGATTAACATGTTTCTAATATCCAGCAGGACAGCTATCAGTAGGAGAAAAAAGCAAGGAAGCGCCAGCAACGAAAAACCAATGGTAACAATGGTGGAAGAAATCTTTTTGATGGAAAAACTCTATATTGAGATTTATACTGTACAAAGTTCAGCAGCATCAAATGGGTAAACAAAAATAGTATTGAATTACAAACTATATATAAACAAATGATATAATTACACATCCGAAAAGGGGTGGGAAGAAGTTTACACTTATCCCACCCCTTCTCCCAAAAACTAAATTAATGTTTCTTTTTCATTTCATTTGGATTTGTTGCGTTCATGGTTTGCACAACTTAATGTATAACAACGATGTGGTAGTGATGGGAAATAGGGCTCTTTGAAGGGAGCCGGATCTCAAGGCTCCGTTCCTTTCCGAGAGCCGTTCAAAAGAGCCATTTTTTTAAGGGGACGGAGTTAGTAGGTTTATCTGCGAACTAATCACCAGGATAAAGATTGACTGTATCGCCAGAAATCTACTTTTACTCACAGAAAATGTCTAACTTGCTCCATCTCTCAGGCAGCCCAACTCCTACTCAAGCTGCACGCGTTACGCCATCATATACGGAACATTTGCATTCAGGAAAGCAAGTTCCCGTAAAGGCGAGTGGATTCATGGCCGGCAGTGAACCAACGATAAAAAGAACGGCTCTCAACAAGGACGACTCGGTTCCCTTCGTTCGTACCAAAGAGCCGTTCAAAAGAATCGGATCGTTCGCGAACGTCACATCACATCACATCTCACTTGTTAGAAGCTTTTATCCAAAGCGACTCACATACTCAATACTGTGGACAATCCCCACAGGAGCACTTTGGGGTGAAGTGTCTCAGGGACCAGGGCTCTCGACTAACTTTTTTCACCATCCTCCCGGAACCGTCCCGAAATACAATCTAAGCCGTCCCGAAATTAATGTGGACCGTCCCGAATTTAAAATATTAGATTTTCTACTACTTATCATTAGTTAAAATCATTCAAAGTGACCTTTAACGTAAATAAAACATCATACAAATCATTAGATGATAATTCATCAACCTTTTTATTTGAGTAAATCAGTCAATCACATGAACAAAGGCCAAATATATTTAAACAAACACACAAATGAGAAAATTACTCTAATATTTAATCAAATCAAGTCCCATCCAATTAACAAAAAAATCCAACACTCTGTCCTGAAGACAGAACCCAGAGTAACCACTAACCAGGATGACAGTCTGTAACACAGTCAGGAGACCTTTACAAACTGCCCCGCCCCCTCGCACACAGACGGGAGAGAGAGACCTCGTCTGGATTGGAAAGCTCGAAAATACATCATAGACGCATGTTGTAGTCTTATTGCATATTAGAAACGGAGTTGGATAAACTAAAACTGCGATATAATGTTTATGTAGCAATACTACATATGACATATATTTTTTAAATGTCTCCAGTACCGATAAAAAGTCAGATAACGTCGGAGCTTAACGTTACCACTGTCTTTAATACCGGGGCTCGGTACCCATCCATACATGGGGAGAGGCGCAGCATATTGCTAAGGACTAAATACGATGGAGGGTTCTCATCTCAGCTTTATTACCCATAGGGGATGAAGTGGA